ACTTTCTATGTTATTGTTTGGAATATACTTAGAGCTACTTTTTTATGTCATTACCTCACTTGGACAAACTTTTTTGTTTGGCGTCTACTTCTATTTTCTAGACGCTTCTGGAAATTAGCATTTAGTGGTTATTAGTGCATTTCTACTTACATACATATGTATGTACATATGTCATGTGCACTAAAGCCAATACCGAATGCATTTGTTTACTTGAAGCACAATGCGTAACCACTAGCAACACTATAATAAATCGGTCTATACAATACAAAAGGATAGCATGAACTAGAAACATTTTCGTTCGTGCTCATGAAAGCCTTATTTATAAGAGCTTAGAGTGCACTTTGCGAAATTTATTCTGCAACCTACAGTGAATTGAACAACCGCCTCTTCGAGAAGCAGTAAATTCGCTTAAAGAGTTGCAGCGCTGTCAGCACCAGTCTCAAGTGGCAATCACTAATGTTAGCTACCACTTTAAATAATAAGAAATTATTACGAAAATAATTTAAATAACGACCAGAATTTTCCTTTACCAATTAACAAATGTGTAGTAATGTATTTAACTGCAACTTAACCTAAATATACAGTCATGGAAAAAATTAAAGAAACAAGAAATGTTGACAAGTTTTGGAGATTTGTCTTTTCTTATATAATATTTTTATTTATATTAATTTAATGGGCTACAAAACTGCCAATCCTTTGATACCATATTTTAAAAATTTGAAATTTTTTCGCGTTTCTGTTGATTTGTATGTTGTTTTTTATATAAAAATGATTAAACGTTTAATAAGCAAGAGAAAAATATCCAAAATTTGTAAAAATTTTTGCTTCTATTATTTTGGCACACGTAACTGCAATTCCATCAATTTTCTGGTAACTTACTATTATACTGCCTTTTTTCTAAAAATAAGCTTGGTATCCCCTTTATAAAAATTTTTATGTGCATATTTTATAACTTCTATAATCATGTATGACCAACATTCCACCAATAGGAATGAACACCTGTTTCATGTTTCACGCCATGAGAAGAATTTGCTGATTTAACACGAAATTCGCAAACTACAACGCTTGTTTAAAAATGTACATATTTAAATATGTACATACGTATGTAATTATGTCAGCCACCCCGTCGGATACATATACAAACATTAGTACAGCCCATGCATGTACATTCATTCGCCATACAGATTTGAAATCACCAACTGTAGCGCTTTCTTCAGGCGGCAATAAAATCATTCAGTCATTCCACCACCAATGCTGCTCCCTCTTTATGGCTATCGATCCAATATAGAGTGGAGTAAAATAGGAAAAAGAACCGCCACCATACCATAACAAATTGCAGCTAGTAACTCCTCTTACTGGTGTGTCACTTGTGCCGCATGCCGCAAATGCTAAGAAGGACATACAAAATCAAATATTTTGCCCGTTAAGAGGAGTGAAGACATCGAGTTGGTTGAATGAGGAATGAAATATAGTATGTGCTCCAATATAGGCACATACAAACATACATATTTACATACACATGAGTTTATAAGTCAAACAAATNTGTACATATGTCATGTGCACTAAAGCCAATACCGAATGCATTTGTTTACTTGAAGCACAATGCGTAACCACTAGCAACACTGTAATAAATCGGTCTATACAATACAAAAGGATAGCATGAACTAGAAACATTTTCGTTTGTGCTCATGAAAGCCTTATTTATAAGAGCTTAGAGTGCACTTTGCGAAATTTATTCTGCAACCTACAGTGAATTGAACAACCGCCCCTTCGAGATGCAGTAAATTCGCCTTAAGAGTTGCAGCGCTGTCAGCACCAGTCTCAAGTGGCAATCACTAATGTTAGCTACCACTTTAAATAATAAGAAATTATTACGAACATAATTTAAATAACGACCAGAATTTTCCTTTACCAATTAACAAATGGGTAGTAATGTATTTAACTGCAACTTAACCTAAAATATACAGTGTTTAAAAAATTAAAGAAACAAGAAATGTTGACAAGTTTTGGATATTTTTCTTTTGCTTATATAATATTTTTATTTATATTAATTTAATGGACTACAAACCTGCCAATCCTTTGATACTACATTTTTTAAATTTTAAATTTTTTCGCGCTTCTGTTGATTTGTATGTTGTTGTTTATATAAAAATGATTAAACAAGAGAAAAATATCCAAAATTTTTAAAAATGTGCTTCTATTATTTTGGCACACGTAACAGGAATTCCATAAATTTTCTGGTAACTTACTATTATAATGCCTTTTTCTAAAAATAAGCTTGGTATCCCCTTTAAAAACATTTTTATGTGCATATTTTATAACTTCTATAATCATGTACGACCAACATTCCACCAATAGGAATGAACACCTGTTTCATGTTTCACGCCATGAGAAGAATTTGCTGATTTAACACGAAATTCGCAAACTACAACGCTTATTTAAAAATGTACATATTTAAATATGTGCATACGTATGTAATTATGTCAGCCACCCCGTCGGATACATATATAAACATTAGTACAACCCATGCATGTACATTCATTCGCCATACAGATTTGAAATCACCAACTGTAGCGCTTTCTTCAGGCGGCAATAAAATCATTCAGTCATTCCACCACCAATGCTGCTCCCTCTTTATGGCTATCGATCCAATATAGAGTGGAGTAAAATAGGAAAAAGAACCGCCACCATACCATAACAAATTGCAGCTAGTAACTCCTCTTACTGGTGTGTCACTTGTGCCGCATGCCGCAAATGCTAAGAAGGACATACAAAATCAAATATTTTGCCCGTTAAGAGGAGTGAAGACATCGAGTTGGTTGAATGAGGAATGAAATATAGTATGTGCTCCAATATAGGCACATACAAACATACATATTTACATACACATGAGTTTATAAGTCAAACAAATGATGACTATTTGAGGCGACTTGGAAGAGCAGGGACAGATGTGTATTGGTGGGTGTGTGCGCTGTTGTTTGTTTGGACGCAATTTCAAAGCAAGTTCTACAAACAATACCAGTTTTTGCTGTGCGGGTAGTGGCGGTTCT